TCACACTGTACCCTGTCTGTTCACACTGTACCCTCTCTGCTCACACTGTATTGCTTCTACCCATAGTCCTGCCAGGCATCTCTTTTTCAGGTTTCCATGGCACCTGTGCTTATCGGCAATAAATATAGACTCCGCTTGGGCTCGCCTACCTACTCTCTAAGTCTGACAAAGAGTTGCAGGTTGAAGGCCAGCCAGGGCAACTCAGTGAGATCCTGTCTCAAAATAAAACAAGTAAAAAGAGAGCTGGAGATGTGGCTCAGTGGTAGGGCAATTGCTTAACATGCATGAGGCTGGAGGTTCAATCACCTTTAAAAATCACAACACTAAATCTCCTCCAGAGCCAGCAAAATGGCTCAGCAAGTCAAGGCACTTGCCACCAAGCCTGATGATGAGTTTGATCCCCAGAACCCATACAGAAGGAGAGAACCCACTGCTGCAAGTTTTCCTCTGACCTCCACATGCATGCTGCATCACACATGCATCGACATGCATACATATACGTGCACACACAGACACACACAGACACAAACACACACACACACACACACATATATATATATATATATATATATATAAAATAAATAAATACAAATGTAATGATTTTTAAAGCCATTTCCTGCAGGGACTGGGAGATGGCTCAGACACAAGTGCTTGCTGAATGAGTACTCAGTGAAGACCTGGGAGGCTGACTTCAGACCCTCAGCACCCATGTAGAAAGCCATGTGAGGCTCCTCCACTGTCAGTGGGAGTGCAAACTTGTACAACCACTGTGGAAATCAGTATGGCGGTTTCTCAGAAAATTGGGAATCGATCTACCTCAAGACCCAGCCATACCACTCTTGGGCATACACCCAAGGAATACTCAATCATACCACAAAGACGCATGTTAAACTATGTTCATAGCAGCACTATTTGTAATAGCCAGAACCTGGAAACAACCTAGATGCCCGTCAACTGAAGAATGGACTAAGAAAATGTGGTAATATACACAATGGAGTACTACTCAGCAGAGAAAAACAATGACAGCATGAAATTTGCAGGCAAATGGATGGAACTAGAAAATATCATCCTGAGTGAGGTAACCCAGACCCAGAAGGACAAACATGGTATGTACTCACTCATAAGTGGATACTAGATATAAAGCAAAGAACAATCAGACTGCAACCCACAGATCCAGGGAGGCTACAT